ATTTTTATTTATTTATTTTTATTTTATGTGTATGAGTGTTTTGTCTGCACATATGTAAGTGCACCAGTGTTGTGCAATGTCTTTGAAAGTCAGAAGAGGGTATCTGATCCCCTGGAACTGGAGTTATGGGTGGATGTTAGTCAATATATGGGTGCTGGGAACTGAACCTAGGTCCTCTGCAAGAGCAGCCAGTATTTTTAACCACAGAGACTGATCTCCAGTCTCTGTTTTTGAGACATGATCTCCCTGTAGCCCTAGAACTCACCAGGTAGACCAGGCTGGCCTTGATCTCACAGAAAGCCGGCTGCCTCTGCCTCCCAAGTATTGGGATTAAAGTTCTACACTCCCACACCCAGCAAAGCCTTCCTTCTTAGATTACTTTTGCCAGGTTTTCTTTGTTTTTGTCAACCATGAAACAAGTAACTAAAACCACATTTTTACCTAACTCGCAATTTCGTTTTTGCCCATCTGATGAGCTGGTTGTTTTAATTTGCATCTCCGATGACTGGGAACATTAAACACGTCTCCGGCTTCCTTTCCTGTGTAGCTTCTTCAGTCATCAAGGACCCTGTATGTTTCAGCCAGACCACGGGTTACCGGGTCCCACAGGAATGGCGCCTGAACCCAGCCCCTTCAGGCCTAGACTGTCTGCTTCCCTCCTCAGGTCTCTACTTAAAGTTTCATGAGCCATTTGCAACTCCCCAAACACACCATGCTATGGTTTCATCCACAGCGTGTGCCTCTGCCAGTTCACCCTAATGCGTGGGAACTCAGTTCAAGATTCAGCCTCTACTACGAAGCCTCAAATCTGACCAGAGTCCCCCCTCCCCACCACCACACTCTACCTCCAGTGCAACCACCATCACGTTCTCCTCCATGGCCCTGTGTGGGCATCACTGCATGCATTCCTGATGTTTGACTTACTCAGCTGTGTGTTCCTAGCTCATTGGTCAGGGCCGATGCTCAGTCCATGTTGGCCCAGTGGGCAGATGAGCCTCAGGATTAGCTTTCATGTCAATTCTCTGTAGACTATGATGTCTTGAGGCCAAGGATAGCATTGCACACTGCTGCTCCCAGCAGCACCTGACAGGGCTGAGTGTCTGTGACATCAGCGAGTGTGTTATGCTGCAATGTGGTTATCTAGTAGGGTATGAAGTGGCTTTGGGCTGGGGATGTGGGTTCCATCGATAGAGTGCTTGCATAGCATTCACAAAGCCCTGGGTTCGATCCCCCAGTACTACATAAACTGGGAATGGGGGTGCAGGCAGGTAATCCCAACACTGGAGAGACAGCAGTGGGAAGATCAAAAGTTCAAGGTAATACTGGCTATATGGTGATTCAAAGCCAGCCTGAAACATGAGACCCTGTCTCCAAAAGAAAAAAAAAGCGCCCGTGGCTGGAAATTGCTTGGTTTTGACTTCAGGCTGTTAATACAATCTTACACAATTTCCTTGGCGTCCCCACACCTGTTTCCTCAAGTTCATGAAGAGGATGATCACCTCTTAGTGGATGGACATCAGGATGAAGTGAGGCTGTGTGTGGAAAGTGTATGGACCCCAATGGATTCTGTGTCAGAGGAATGCACGGCCTGCTTTAGTGCATCCCTGCATGACTGAGTTTTTTAGGTGCTACTCCATAAAGATGGGGTCCAGCTATCCCAGCACCAAGGACATACCTTGCAGAAACTAAGTACCCTAGAAAGTTAAACTGAACCTGCACCTTGTGCCCTTAGGTCCTTAAGTACTTAGTAAATATGAAATGAAGTCAGGTGCACAGCTGTTCTATTTTGTGGGAAGAGCTGGGGGGGCTGGGAGTGATTCTTTTTAGTATTTTATTATTTTTATTTTATACCTGCATGTATATAAGTGTGCCCATGTGGTACAATACCCACAGAGATTAGAAGAGGGCATCGGATCCCCTTGGAACTGAAGATATAGACGGTTTTTAGCGGCCAAGTGGGTCCTGGGACTCAAACCCAAATCCTTTGCAAGAGCAGCCAGTGTTCTTAACCACTGAGCCATCTCTCCAGCTCCCCCTGCCTGTGATTTTGATGCTTCCTTTTGCTTTGGTTTTTCAAAGTGGGGTTGACCACACAATAGACTGCCATTTTGTGCTCTTTAAGATGCCCTTGATGGACAGTAGTACTAGGTGGAGTTTCCTCTCACGAAGTCTGGACTTTGTGTTCCTTTGATCACAGAGATTTTAACAGTCTGAGGCAATACCAGCTACACCATTGCACACAGAATCTGGTCTCCTTGGAAGGATTTTTCCTGGAACCCAGTCACTATGAAATGGAGACGCTCAAGCAAACATCAAGGAGAGGCCACAAAGAGATATGACAGCCAGACTGCTTGTGACTCTCACTTTAGCCCTGGTATCCATCCTGCTTGTATCTATCTAGACCATCTGTGGTATCCATTTCAGCTCTTGTACTGATCCTAATTATGGTGCTCAGCCCAGCCATGGTCCCCATCCCAGCTGTGGAACCCATCCCCCTTGGGGAACTCATCTCAGCTGTGTGGTACCCATCAAAGCTATGGTGCTCAACCCAACTATGGTGCCTGTCTCTCATTAAGCCCTGCTCAATTGCCCACTTGGCAGCAAGTGAACGATCATGTCATTTTAAGTCACTGGTTTTGGTGTGTTTTGGAAGACAGAAGACAACTATCCCACAAATAGAGCCTCTTCTAAGAGTGCAAGTCTGAGTGCTATTGGCTGAGAAGCTCTCCAGCACAGGTCCCGCCTCTAAGGGCTCTTCTCTCCCCCGAGGCTCCAGTTCCCCAGTCCCTCAGTGCTTGTGACCAGGAATGCTTCTGGCTGAGGATGCTTTGTGCTGCTTCAACACTGGGATACCCAGGTTCCCATTACAAGAAGTCCAGAACTGGGCAGCTTCTGCCAAGTTCATGAGGTGAGCCTCTCAGTGAGGGCCAGGAGGAACCTGGACTGCACTTAACGTTAGTTCCTCTTGTCTGCTGACTCCTCATTCAGAAGTAAGGATGGTCCTCTGCATGTCCAGCTCACAAGTGTTTCCCAGGAGGCTTCTCACACCTTTCCTTCATCTCATTGGCACAAATTGAGTCACATGCTCATTCCTGAATCTTATGTGTGGGGGTGCAGGGTGAGGGGGAAGCCATTAAATCTGTTCCTAAGTTGGAGGGGATGGACGAACATGACCAATTCCTCTGAAGTCCCTGGGCTCGTGTGAGAGGAATGAATGGATATCTAGAAACAATTGGGGTCTGACTGGGGACAGCAAGCAGGAGACAACCCAGTTGTGTTCACTAGAGGACTTTGCCACTCAGGGCACATCAGATCAACTTTACCATCCTTCCTGGGGTGGTGGAGGAAGGCATGAAGAGGTGGGGGGCATCCTCAGAGCTTCTGTCTTTCTTGGTTGGTCCTCCAGTCCCACCCCTGGCTGCCCACCCCATTGTGGAGAAAGGCACCATGCAGCAGAGCAGGGCTCGACTCGCACCTTTCTTTATTGCCAACACTTCCTTTGAGCGTGTCTTCTAATGTCCTATCAACTACTTGGTGCTCTTGGATTTGCTTTTTTCTCCATATTTCTCAGCCAGCGCTTTCTGCAAGTTCATGTTCATAGCATTTTTCCGGTGCCACCGTCCTACAGAGAACAGAGAGGGGGTCATCACAGGTCGCCCAGCTGCCTTCAGAGGGTCTAGACCACAGCAGTGACCCACACCTGTACCAGCCCACCCTCAGGGGCTCCACCTCATGGTCTTCACCTTGGAACCAAGAGCCACCCCTCAGCATCCCTCCCACCTACCCAGCTCATCCGTCTTCCTGCCGTGCCAGTGCTCCATGTCCCTCACCGATTTCTCAATCACCTCGGGCGTGTAGGAAGCCTTCATGAGGCTCATTGTCTCCTGCGGGGCCCCTGTCAGACACCATGGCGAAATTCCCAAGTCATGGAAGGTGGGGTACCCGATGATGCATCCCAGGCACCAGTTTCAATTCTAGGGGTGTTGGGCATGGGCGGGACGGGGAGTGGGAGGGTTTCCAAGCAAAATAGGAAAGGTTTCAAAGCTCAGCCCCATTATTGGTGGCTAGCGCGGACTCAGCTTTTAACCTCTCCGAGCTTCAGTGTCTTGTTCTATACGAGGGAATAGGGTTTACTTGCAATCTTGAAAGATTAAATTGTTACATTTACTGGACATTCTTCAGAGCTCCTGTCATGTGACAATATTGGTATTTTCTCAGTGCACACAAGGAAATGATCTACCATGGTCAAAAACCATCAGACAGGACCAGAGCCTGGAAGACGGCAAGGATTTAAATAAGTAAGATACAAAGGCTGGGACAGGACATAATGGCACACACCTTTAATCCCAGCCCTCAGTAAACAGAGGCAGGCGGATCTCTGTGAGATCAAGGCAGCCTGGTCTACATAGAAAGTTCCAGGCCAGCTGGGCTACAGACTGGGGATGCAATCCTGGATTTAGATTCCTAGCACACACACACACACACACACACACACCTCCCCCACCCCTTCTTTTTCAATACTGGATAGCAACCCTCCATGCCAGTAAATGCCACAGCACCTTCTCAAGGATTCCTCCTCTAGATTCATGCAAGTAAAAGTTATAATACCAGAGTCTAAGAACTAACTCCTAGAGGTTGCCACAGAGAAAACAGTTCACTTACAAAGAATAGTGATCTGGGGGCTAGAAAGATGCTCAGCTGTTAAGAGCACTGATTGCTCTTCCAGAGGATCCAGGTTTGATTCCCAGCACCCACATGGCAGTTAACAACTGTCCATTAACTCCAGTGCCGTGCCAGGGGAATCTGAGGCCTTCTTTTATCTCTGTGGGCAGGTGGAATAATTTGTGTCAAATCACACGGTTGGGTTGGCAAGTCAAAGATCTAGACCAAGGAGTCCAACCTTTTGACACACAGCATGACGCTGTGGTGGACAAGCTGAGGGAGGAAGGGAGAGTGAGAGTGCAACCTGATCTTGTCCTTCTGGTGTTCAGGAAAGCCCCCTATGTCAATTTCAGGGTTTGTCAACTATGCACACAAAAATGTCAAAAGAGGGGCTGGAGAGAGCTCAGCAGTTAAGAGCACTGGCTATTCTTGCAGAGGACACGGGTTCGAATCCCAGCACCTACATACTAACAACTGTCTGTAACTCCAGTTCCAGGGGATCCAAAGCCCTTTTCGGACCTCCTCGGGCACTGCACAACAGGTGCACTTACATCAGGCAGTACACGCACACACATAGTATAAAAATAGTAGTTTTTAAATGTCAAAAGTAACTACAAATGAATAGAAAGGGGGGGTTCCTGTTGGTGGGAAAATGAAAAGCTCATACCAAAAAAGCATAGGCCATAGGTATGGGAAAGCTGACAGCCATGCCTGCAGGTCTGATATCTGCCATTTGTAAGTGTACAAAGAAGAGGAATCCCAAAAGCAGCTAACAAGACCAGGACAGCTCCCCATACATACTGCACCACCTCTCCATTCCAAACATGTTGAAGATCAGCATGGCCATTTACAAATGGGCTTTGTGTCTGTGCTGGATAACTTTAGTTGTCAACTTGACACATCTGGGTAGAAGGGGGTCTCAGTTGGGGACTGCTTCCATTGGACTGGCCTATGGCCATGTCTATGGGGCATTTTCTTGGTTGTTGAGTGATGTGGGAGGGTCCAGACCACTGTGGGTGGTGCCACCCCTGGGCAGATGGTCTTGTATTGTATAAGAAAGCAAGTTGAGGGCCAGGTATGGTGGTGCACGCCTTTAATCCCAGCACTCAGGAGGCAGAGGCAGGTGGATCTCTGTGAGTTCAAGGCCAGCCTGGTCTACATAGTGAGTTCCAGGACAGCTGGGGCTACAGGGAGACCCTGTCTCAGAAAGACCAAAAAAAAAAAAAAAACCAAAAAAGCAAGTTGAGGCCCGGGGAGCGAGCCAGGAAGCAGCGTTCTCCAGGGCCTATGCTTCAGCTCCTGCCTCCAGGTTCCTGCCCTGAGTTCCTACCTTGGGCTGCCTCAGTGATGAACTGTGACCTGGGCAATGTAAGTCAGATAAACCGTTTCCTCCCCAAGTTGGTTTTGGTCAGTGTTTTTATCACCGAAAATGAAAACAAACTGAACAGTGTCCATCCACACTACAACTGTTCGTTATATTGGCTACAGTGAGGGTGCTTATGTCCTTGGGAAGAATGGGATAATGGATATAGTATAATTTGGAAAAGATGCGTATGTCTACTTAAGAAGCCTCCTTAAGGTTTTCTTCCCCAAATGGGAGTGATTACAGCTTCAGGACTGGCGGGTTTGGTTTCAGCAAGAAAAGTTCTAGGTTTAAGAAGACTGCGTATCCACTAGGAAGGTCACATTGGGGTCAACTGTTTGCTACCCAGCTCAGTTAGTAAGAATTGTGAAGATAGCTGGGAAAGAGGCAAATGCTATAAGCCAGCGAATTTATGAAGCTGTTAAACCCTTGTGGACAAAAAAAAGTAAAAAGGAGTCATTCCTGAACATAAAGAACCTGCAAATAGGAAGGGCTGATGGAACGCCTGCCAGTCATGCACGTCCTGGAACAGTCAGTGACTTTGACCAAAGAACGCACCTCTGAGACGAAGGCAAATCGGAATCCACCTCAGGTGCTGCAGAGTTTAGATTGTGTAGGTTTATGCGCAGTATATACCTGACTCCAATTCATGGATCATCCAGAAGGTGGATACAGTGCTAGAGACTGAAAGAATTGCAGAGGGCCTTCAAAAGAACTCCAAGAAGTACGAAGCTACAAATGATCCTGGAAAATCATGTGATAGGTAACTGGCAGAGCATGACTTGAACTTTTTCTATGGCCTCTTCGACTGAACAGTTTGGTCAAACACATAAGGCACAGATTACAAATGCAACACAAATATTGATTGATGAAGTGAGAGGGTTGAAGAGACCAGGTTGCATTGGATGATTGAAAGAGAATTTATTAGAAAGCAAAGAAGAGTGAAGATGTGAATGTCAGCAAGAATGAAATCTGAAAATCTGCATGCACACGTGCATGTATACATATTTATACATATGTACACACGTGTCTACTCCAGTGTTCCAAGTTATTGTCAGTTAACTTAGAATGGTTGATAGAAGGATATGTTCTCTCTACTCTTTTAATTTCCCAAAGCTGGAATAAAATATCCATATTTTAATAGGCAAAAAAAGCATAGGAAAAACATAAATAGAAAGCACAAAATAAGCCATGGAGACCAACCCACATACATCAGCAACTGGAAGAAAAACTGGCTATTCTCAATGGTTAGAGATCAGATTGTCAGATTACAGAAAATACTCTCCAGATCTCTATTATTTAAAGCATATTTTATAAAGGCACAAGTAGGGGCTAACCATGAAAGGACAGAACAGGATACAGCAGCCAAATACTAGCCAGGAGCAAGCTGGCCTGGCTATATTTATATCAGACAAAATAGACTGTAGGGCAATGGCTGTATGAAAAATAAAAATACTAGGGCCAGCACAATGGCTCAGTGGGTATAGGTGCTTGCTGCCAAGCCTGGTAATATGAGTTCAATCCTTGGGACCCCCATAGTGGAAGGAGAGAACAGAGTCTTGCAAGTTTTCCTGCCCTCCACACCAGTGTCATGGCAAACATTCACATGTGCGCACATACATAATAAATAAAAAAAATAACAAATAAATGCAGTTACAAATCTTTAGAAACATAGAAATAACTAATTCTTTGAGGTAATACCATAATTCTAAGCTTGCTGTAGCATAACCATCTTAGAAAAGATACAAGATTATAAGAGAAATTGACACGTCTTCTACTGTAGAGAAGGATTTAGTGGTCCTTCCTTCAGTAATTTAATAGATCAAGAGAAGAGTATTAATAAAGAATGACAGGATTTGTAGAGAAGTTATTAACTAGCTTATCCTATTAGGCAAAAACTGGATTCTCTGGCCACTAGATGATTTAACTCACAGGAGGTTATCCACACGCTGGCCCTGGGCTGGCCCTGCATTACAAAGCAGGTCCTGATAACTTCAAAGGACCTGCAGCCACAGCACGCTGTGTTCTCTGAGCACAAGGCCACCAGGCTGGAAATCGTTTTGAACAGCAAATTTGCCAGCTTGGTATTTACAGCTCAAAAGGTTTATGTAACAGGATGAATTAGAGGTCTGGCTTGAGGCCCTCAGTCCTGATGGCCATCGGGGATCAAAGTCAGCTTCGAAACCTCTGGAAGGAACTGGAAAACAGGCCCTCCCTCAGTGAAGCTATAAAATGATCAGTTTGGGGGAGAATGGCCAGCATCATTTAAGAGGATTGCTTTGGCTTCTAAGGGAGGCTGGCCTCATACCTCTAACTGGAAAACAGGCCCTCCCTCAGTGAAGCTATAAAATGATCAGTTTGGGGAGAATGGCCAGCATCGTTTAAGAGGATTGCTTTGGCTTCTAAGGGAGGCTGGCCTCATACCTCCCAGATTAAATCTAATTAGACAGGATTATGGACTCACTTCGGGAGCCTATGAGTTTGGAGGTCACTGAGACAGAGCAAAAAACTTTGGCCTGAGCTAGTGGGTCAGAGCACAAATGGGCTAATCCTATCCCCAGTGCAGGAGGCTCATGTTTCTGTGGACTAAGCATGGGCAGTAGAGAAGGGAGTAGCTCCTGGGCCTGGTGAGTCCTACCTCCAAGCTTTCAGAAGATGGGTGGGCAGGTCCTGACAAGAGAAACGCAAAGAATGTGCCAAACATCAAACAGCAGGGGGCAAGGGATACACCCCTGTGCCAGGTGGAGAAACGCCTGGGTTCAAACCCTTGCCACACTTCTGTCCACAGCAGAGGGGTGTGACTCTGATGTCTTAGGGGCCTTCCCTCCTCATGTACCCTGGTCCTGGGGGCTGAAGCCAAAGACAGGCAC